GACTCCCATCCCACATCCCTGCTCGGCCTCCCAGAGGACCGCTCGGCATCCCAGAGCAACTTCCATCCTGCATCCCTGCTCAGCATCCTGGTGCAACTCCCACCAGTGACTCCCTTGGAAGCACCTTCCATCCATCTCTGCTCTGCAGGGATCTCTCCCTTGGTACAGCCCATGGAAGGGCACCAGGTTGCAGCAGCTGCTCCGGATCCGCTTCCTCTCCTGCTCCTTCCCTCACTTGTGTGCGTGGGCTCTGTGGAAACCTGCCTGCCGTAGGAGACCCGGAGCACGAGGAGGACACGYGGGACGGGATGGTGGTGGGAAGGACCGTCCCCACGAGCTGGACCGCTGTAAGCCAAGGGCCACACGAGGGCTTGGGCAYGGAAATCCTCTCCCCTGGCCTTGGRAGTTGTCTTATCCATGCCAGGAACCTCCTTGGCCGGTGCCACTGTTGGAGTGAGGTGTCTGGGCTCGGGAATGCGGATGGGGCCCTGAGAGCAAGGACGAGAGTGCCCATTCCCAATTGATCTGGCCTCTTCTGGCTCATTTTGAGCTTCCCCTACTTATTTCAGGGCAGCAACRAAAGCAGTGGCTGCATCTCCATGAACATCCAAGTTCAAGTGGGTCTCCAAAACCCAGAGCGGATGCAGGTGGAGGCCCGACCCGTGGCGCTTCCCAGATTCAGGAATTCTCCGAGATCCTTTGCCAAGCCCTTGCGGCTGCTTCCCTGCTCAGAGCTCGGCTCTTTTCCCCGCTTTCTCCTTGCTTGGTGGCGTGTTGGTTTCTGGTTTTAGTGTGAACGGGGAGGCCTGGAGCTCCTTCCTTGGCTGATGCAGCCTCTCTGCCGTGGTCGTTAGTGGCGGATGTTAATCACGCTGCTCCGTGCAGCTGTGGACAGCAGCAGGGCCCCAGAGCGATGGGAACTGCGCAGCCACCCTGCCCGGAACAGAACAGGAGCAGAGCAGGGCTCATTGCCCTTTGCAGACACATCTTCATCCCTTCCCAGCTCATCAGCTCCGTCCCGGCTGCCGGGGATGTGACATCCACAAAACCGGACCCCCTGATAGGGGCCCACGCWGCTCTGCTCCAGAGGTAGCCGCATTTGTAGTGAAGCAATTCCTGGGATAATGGTTATAATTCTATAAACAAAGTGCTGCGAATACTTCTCCTGGGATCATCCCAGGGTATTTTGGGGTTCCCAATCATTTGTGCAATAGCAGCTTGAAACACTCAGAGCTTTTCATGTTTCCAGCATGAAAATGTCTGTCAAATTTCACACCATCAGTCTGAAATAGGGCCCGTTTTAAAATGAGTAGCGATAATTAGCGATGACTAAGCGTTAGTGGGTGCCTGAGTGGGGGCCTTGAGAAGTATTCGCTGTCTGTAGTAGCAGATGGGGGACAGTGCAACCCACTACTGMTAAGGAAACTGCTTTTGGGAGTCCAAGGAGCCCCAGTGCAATGAACAGCCACCAGTGACCACCACAGCAGGGGAGTTGTGCTGGATCCAGTGGAAAGCATCCCGAGATGTGGATGCCTCTGATTGAGTGCCCTTATATAGGATCTGTTTCTATGGATAAACGTAAAAGGGTCTTTATATTTTTCCCCTGATGAAAAGCAAGGAGATTGTGCTCGGGAGCTTGTGCCCGTGTCCAAGAGCTTGGCTCTGCGTCTGATCTCTTTCTCTCCTAGGCAGGAACCTGTGAGGTTGCCCTGAAGAGGAGCCCTCGGCGATGGTGCTGCAGGATGCYGGCCCTGGCTGTGAGGGACACCTCTCCTCTGCTGTAGCTGCCACCAAAGTGTCTTCTGGGGAGCAACGAGCGCTTGGCGAACGCTCCCGGGCGGCCAACAGGATGCCTAGGAGCTCGTCCTCCCTGCAAGACTTGTACCACAGCAGCACTGTGACGGCCAGGCCAGACCCGGGGACAGCACCGCACGTGACCGTGCCAGAAAGGGCTCCTCTGAGCCCCCAAACTACCAGTTTCAACAGCACCAAAATGCCTGAGGTGGCCAGCAGCGGGGCTGGCCTGAGCACCATGCTGCTCTCCTTCGGAATCCTCACTGTCATTGGGTTGGCTGTGGCCATGGTAAGAAGGACCTGCTAAATGTTCCTCTCTTCTAGGGGGTGACAAAGCGGCTCTGGGACTGGTTTGGGTTGAATTATTTCTTTGTGTTGTACTAAAGAYTTACCAGAAATGATGGAGACTGGTAGCTTCTGAGATCCCTTTCTGTCCAAGTCCTTTCTTTTCCAGTGCTCACAGGAATACTACAAGGGTCCAAGTTCTGCAGCCTYCCTGCAGGCTGCTCCAGACAGTGCTCAGCAGCCCCAGAGGAAGCTGTAGGTAGTATCAGCACTTTTAATAGCAATGGGAAGTTAAGTTAAAATAAATCAAAGCAGCTTCTGCTCTGACTTGTTAACTGGAATAGCTGCATTGATTTAAACCTTGTCTATGCAGGAGGCCTGGAGGAAAATTCAGCCAGATTAGTTTTTAAAACAGACTGCCGAAGCCATGTTAATCTCCCCTGTGGACATCTCTTTCTGAGCTAAAGCAGCCTGAGTCTGTTTTAGCTAGATTCATTCCAGACTGTGTTTCTGGAGTTCCACTTGCTCAATATAAGCAGAGTCCCTAAGGATTTGCTGCATTGAACTAACCTGCCACTGATGTTGTAGGCTGAAGATTTCAGAAACTCTAGTTCTGGGCCTGTTGTGGATAACACAAGTGCTCAGCTTTCCTTCTGCTGTACAAGCCATCATTTACCTGCCAGCAGAGAATGAAAGTAGCAGCGAGCTCGGCTTCCTCATACGAGGGAGAGCTTCTCTAATACCACCAAAAGAGGAACCCACAGAAAGGGACTGCTGCAAAATTTCATTACAGGCCCAAGGAGGAGTTTTTCCAAAAGCCCCTAAGAGACCTGGAAACACTGTCCTGGAAATGACCGTAAGTAAGGAAACGAAGGGGAGGTTCTTCATTCACTCTGAATCACCCCAGACATCCTGCAGCCAGCAGAAATACACTGTGCAACACCTAATATACACCTAGTGAGAACATACTGTTACTAACACACCTTGTAGCAGGCTACCTGAGCACCCAGTGTCTCTCAAGGYTACTCATGCACCCACTTCCAGCTGTCACGTTGCCCCTTGCCCTGCTTGGTGTGCCAGACTCGCTGCACCCCCTCTGTGCGTGCCCCAAATTTCTCTTCCCAACTGTTCCCTGTCTTACTGAGACTGTTATAATGATGGTTTTCTTTCTCCTGCAGGTTCTGTATATCAGGAAGAAGAAGAGGTAAGTAGCATCTGTCATTGGCTGAGAGGAATTTGTGCTTCCGAGCCTGGGCAGCACTGGGAAGCAGGCTGGAAAATGGGGAAGGGTCAGGACAAGCCTACAGGGAATGGGAGCCTGTGAGGCAGGGATAGGAATTCTCCACCTCTCCGTCCTGGTCTGCCTGATGCCAGAGCTTCACGTGCTCAGCTGTCACTTTGGAGAGGAAAACATTGACTGGAGAAGGCCAGGGATCCTCAAAACTCTTCATGCTTCACCCGTGAGATGGGCTGAACTGAAAAGGAAAGGGGAAATGCAGGGAAAACACTTCTTGCCACCCATTAGTCGCAGGGGCTCCTCTCTGCCTGAATCCTTGTGGCAGGTCTGGCCACGGAGTTGCAAGAAGCGCTGCTCTGCACAGCARGACTTCTCCTGCAGCCCAGATCTGCCGACGTTTGGTCTGCAAACACGGCGCTGCTGGAGATAATGGTTGTGTTGGCAAAGCCCACAGAGGGGCAGGGAGGGAGAGTTTTATCCCAGCACTTACCAGAGCAGCTATTTGTGGTGACACTGCCAGCAACTGCTTGGGTTTTTCCCTCCTCCTACCCCCCAACACTGCACTGCAGTCCAAGACAGGGACTCGGTGCTTTCACACAAGTGCTGCCCTCCATGACTGGGCTCCTTAGTGTTTCAGGAGACCTTTGGAGTACATTTCGAGCAATGGTACAAGAATTAAGAGCACTAAGGTCTGTCCACAGGCAGCCTCTGAGGACCACTGTTCTACTACCTGTTTTTATAATAATTACTAATAATTTTCTGTTTGTTATCATGTACATCAACCTCAGGGTTGAAGAATAACTCAGACTCCTACAGCTACGTTGCACTTCTGGGATCAGGCATAGTGTGGCCTGGCAGGACTGAGCTTCCCACTGTGCCACGCTGCCTGTTCTTGTTCCCCCTGAGAAATCTTGTTCTGACCCTTGAAGGTCTGCGCGTGCTTAAATCCCCATCGGATTTCTCTGTGCCTAATTCCTGCCAACACGGATTAGCAGTGGCAGCTGATCCCTACAGCTGCAGTGTCCTCCATTCCCGCTGGCTTCTCATCCCTGCAGGATGCAGATGGGACCCTTAGGTAGCAAGTGGGCTGAATCCCTGTGCAGCAGGAGAGACAGGCTCAGCAGGGGTGGAGAAGGCACCTTGAGCTTCTGTCCTCCCCTCTCCTGAGTTCTGAACCCACCTTCTGCCTTCTCTCCCAGGCTGGAGAAGCTGCGCCACCAGCTCATGCCCATGTACAACTTCGATCCCACCGAGGAGCAGGACGAGCTGGAGCAGGAGCTGCTGGAACATGGCCGAGAGGCAGCAGCTTCCCAGGCATCCCAGAACAAGGTGGGCAGCAGGGAAGCAGCCGCGCTGTCGGCACCGCCGCTGGCACCTGCACTGCTTTTGCTACGGAATCCAGGGCTTCTTGGAGGGTTGTGCAGTCAGGAAGCGATGGGAGACCTCAGGAGGGCTTCATCCACCTCTTCCAGCCTTGGAAATGGGAAGATTGAGCATTTTGGAGGCCTTAGGATGGCCAAAGTGTCAGGCAAGTAGGAGTAAGAGCCTGGGGAGGCAAAATGCTGGCTCTGCACAGGGTAAAAAAGATCTCAGGACAAGGGAAATCTCAGCAATTAAGCTGATTTTTACTACAGCTTTTCTGCCAGGACACCACAAGGGAGCAGCAAGGTGCCTGCAATTTGCTGCAGCTTCACATGCTCAGAGGGCACCAAGTGTCCCTTAATTTCCACAGTTTTAAGGTATCCCTGGTTAGTGCAGGATACAAGTATGGAACAAAGCCTTGCTGAGGGAGATTGTAACTGTCAGATAAGAGTGTTGCAAGCCCCAAAAGAGGGCAGGCAGGAAGCCTGAGCATGGGCTCAACCTGTGGCATGGGGTGTCTGATGTTGTCAGCACCTTCAGGCCAGCCTTGCAGGGAACAGGATAGGCACAGCTCCGAAAGAGAAGAGGATGGGGAGTTTTCCATTTGGATTGGGTGAAATCCAAATACTCTGAACACGCTGAGGACTCGTTGCATGAGACACGCTGAGAAATTATGAGCTCCCCGGAGACCGCCGAGTTATTCCATTAGTGGCTTAGGAAAGGGCCAGTTGTTTTGGTGACTGTTGTTAATGGTCTAGATGGGTCTTGGACAAGAGGCTGTGACCTCCCCAGATGTATCAGGGGGCAGGACGGGTGGGAAGAAGGGCTTCTCACCATTGTTTGCAGCCAGTTTCACAGTGTTCTCTCTTTCCTTCTTCAAAACTTGCACACAGAAAAAGCCTTTCTGAAAGACAGAGCTGGCAGGGAGGGTGGAATAGGGATGTCTGTCAGCCAGTGATGCAGCACCCCACTGAGAGGGGACCTCTGCCCTTTTAATTCCTCTCCAGCTGCCCATGTCTTCACTTTTCCAGCTAGAGGAGCTGGAGATCTCCCAAACCATCCTGTTTCCACTCATTTTATACCTTTAGATAAACGGTGGCAGATTGGTGTGGGACAAAAGAAGAAAGGAGAAAAAATAGAGATACTGTAGTTATAAAATATTTACCTTGAGGAATACTTCCCAATCTGCCAAAGAGCATGTGGGAGAGAGAGATGTTGGAAGGTGGGAGATAATCGGCATAATCCATGTACTGGTTTGGGAAAGCAGAGAGATGCTGTTGGCTAAAATTAAGAGATCTTGACCTCTGTCCACTGTGTGCTGGGACATACAGCACACAGTGTTGGTGCCCATGGAGGACATCCCTTCAAGTAGGAAAGCTAGGGAATGACAAGGACAGCATTAAAYACAGCACCATAAAAGCATTTCCTTCCTATACAGTGACTGGCTAGCATGATCCTTGGGAGCTTGCTCAGATCCCTCTGCTTGGAAAGTAAGTTTAAAGGCTTAAAATAACAAGAGATGGAACTTAAACTAGTATCCAAAGCTCAGCCTATGGCAGGTTTCCTGAGGTTTCAAATATTCCCATGCTGCCAGGTGACACATAAAGGATGATATACACACCAAACTAGATAGCTACATATCTCCAGTGATGTGCAGACCGAATTGGTGTGCTGACCTACCCTCTGGCCTGTTGTATTTTTCTGCCACAGCCTTGTTGGTGCTGGGTTAGTCCATCACGCTGCTCTTGATGAGGGGCTGAACCCCRTAGGCTACGTTGGTGCCCACGCGTCTCACCCGCCGGGTCTCACCTCTCTGTGCTTCGCTGCAGATCCTGCTGACGAGCCAGGGGGCTCTGCAGAGGCCCAGTCGCCTCGTGTTCGCAGACGTCGCCGATGCCATCAACGCGTGAACAGAACCTGCCCCTGCTCGGGGACCGTGCCCAGACTTCGGAGGATGGGGGCAAYGAGCCGGTGACTTCTCGCAAGCGTGAGCACCCAGCTGGCCACCCGGTTGGTTTGTGCTACAGATGGGCACAGGCACCCGTGTGGCTTTGGAAAACAGACCTTTCGTGATGGCAGGAGCAACATTTGGTGCGTCCGTCGCTACTGGAAGGTCCTGGGCTGCCATGCTGCAGTTTTGGGGCTGGTGCTGAGTGTCAGCGTCAACCCAGCGGTGTGCTCAGGGACAGTGCTCGCTGTGTTGTGGGTTAGCTGATTCAGAGCCCGTGAAGGCGAGGGAAGGAGAAGGGAATGTTTCAGAGAGCTTCCCCAGGGGTTCCAGACCCTAAATGAACATGTCTGTGCAGGGACCGCAGCCTCAGCAGAGCCCAGAGGGGTGACAAAGCCACTTTGAGCCAGGACAGCTGCCCCCACGAGCTGCGTGCTCACCTGGGACAGGGACTCTTAGCTCTTATGCCCCCCAGGAAAACATGTACCTTGAGGTTCACCCCTCTCGTGGCTTGTGGCCTGCTGATATACGTGTGCCCTGGGTGATGCTGCAGTTCACTAGCTGTAAAAAGCAAAATGAAAAAACGTAAGTCTGATCACATCTTAACTGAGCAGGTGGGTGGGCATCCCCCGGGGCTGTGGCCTGCAGAGCTTGCCCTGCTTCCAGAGGCAGGGGGGACCACRTCCTGCTGCGGGACACCCACAGCCAAGCAGGGAAGGGACTGAGACACACACCGAGCAGGACTGGGGCTCTGGCACCAGGAATCCTCCCCTGCTGTGGCCCAGGGAAGTTTCTACCATGCAGACAAGGGTAGAGAGAGGAGATTAAGGCTTAAAGAGGAAAATTATGTATTGGCTTAACACTGCACCAACCCTGTGCCTGTCCCCGAGGTGGCTCAATAGCTGGTTTTTACTTCCTTACCTGCCAGGACCTGCAATCAGAGTCTTTTCTTCTTCCTGCTGAAGAAAACAGAGCTCTGCATTAGCCTCCCCTCGCACTACCTGCAGGTGGGTCTGGCCAGGTGGGACGGCAGCTCCCCTGTAGACCCCAAGCACCTCCCTGCRTGTCGCTCAGGACCAAAGCATGGCGTAAAGGACAGACACGAGGGTTTCCCCTGTCCCTTCTGGCCACCACATTGGCCAGGATGGCCATGGCACCACCTGCCCTGTCCCATCCCGCAGCCAGGAGCCTGCAGAGGCAGCTGAAAGCGGGGTGTGAATCTGAAGGCAGATCTAAAGGCGGGCTTCACGCAAGGAGGTTTTTCACTGAGTGGCCATTGAGGCCTCCTGCACGTTGTTACAAACAAGCACCTCCCCAGCCCCTTTTTTCCTCCCCCCCAGTGACTTTTTCCCCTTTTCACAGCTGTGAACAATTTCCTGCACATCCATCTCTCACCCCTGCTGAAAACAGTTCCTTACCAGCCCTGCACTGGCACAGCTTTCCCCTTGGCACTATGGCAGGGTTGAGGGAGTTGTTAATTTTGGAAAAGGCATCTCCCTTTCCAAACCTGGAGGCTCCTGGGTGTGCAGTAGGGTTAGAGGACACTGTCCATGGGTCATCCCGACCGTTATCCCAGTGTGAGCAGCCAAGCAGCATTTCCCCCAGAACTTGCAGAGCTGCAACTTTTATTTCCCTCTCTTTGAATTCTCTGCAAAAGGTACCCGTAGGCTGAGCTGTGTCCTCAAACCAGCGACTTCCTTCATGCTCTTAATCTGCCAGYGCGGGGGCAAGAACCTGCTCCTTGTTCCGCGTTAATGCTGAGCTGCATCTTGTCTACCGAACCTACCCATGGCAAATCCTCTTTAGCCATCCTTCCCGTAGTGGCAGGATTGTCCCGCGATGGCTGCTCTTAGATTAACGAAGTACAGACAACGAGACAAGAGAACATTACGGGTATATTGCGGGCTTGCTCTGCTGTATTCTTTTAGAGGAACAGCAGCTCCTTTCACAGTTCTTGGAAGTATATGTTAGCAGAAGCGCTATGATGTAATTTAATTCAAAGGTTTCTCTGTTTTAAGCACTGAAATATATTTAGTTTACATTAAATCCCGTGTGATTGTCCTTTTTTTCCCCTCATTTGTGTTCTCTGGGTAAAAGGGCTGCAATGTATCCTGGCACCACAGTCCCAGCTGGCATGCAGGGAACTTCTCCTCTTCCCTCATGGAGAAACTATGGGAAGTTCCTCATGGAGGTGAGTGCACAGCTTTGAGGGACGGGCTCTGCAGGGGTAAAGGGTTAATGTTCCACAACATGGAAACCCAGGACTTCTTCAGGAAGCCTTAGTGCTCAGGGAAGCTGTGAGAGTAGGAGCTTCCAGCCCAGCAAGTCCTGGGCATCAAGGACAACTCACAGCATGTCTGCACTTGCTATAATATCCTTTAAACAACTGAACTTCTGGACAAACTATAGATTCACCAGAGCTCCCCCGTGGCTCTGACTAGGATGGGCTGCCCACCGTGGGGTGAATATCGTGGGCAGCAGCACTGGCAGCTCCGTGTTGGTAGTTGCTGGGGTTTCCAGAGAACCAGTTTGCCTTCTGCTTCACCTTCTGGCCCACAGACTCAAACCTAATCATTAGGAAAGCTATCAGATCAAACAACGAGGCTTTGGAACAAGATTAATAGGATCAACACTGAAAATATGAGAAGTTAAATAATTCTGCACCACACAGAACTACATGTGGCACAACAAGTTCAACTGTGGCAAATTCCAGGTGTTCACGTGGAGCAGAATTGGCTTGTATTCAAAGCAAGCTGGTTAAAATGCAGAGATGCACAAGATGGTCCTAGTTATCAGCATTTGGGCTTAGGGGCCTGCACTTCACTCTGTGCGTGGATCCTCATGCTCATTATTCSTTGCTTCCACATAGGTCCGTGGGTGCTCCCGAATGGCACGTTCCATTTTTTGATAGTTCTCCAAACTGCAATTCAAGTAAAGAGGGTGGAACTCGCACTGCCTGCTCGTGTGCAGCCGGGCTGACCTGGGTGCACACGGAGGAGGAAAAGCAGAAGCTTGAGGTGCTGTATCACAAACCTTTATTAAAAGCAAACTCCAAGGCCAGTCGCAAGTTGCCAACACTTTATGCCTGCACCAAAACCAGGAGTTGGTCCAAATTTTTCTGTATAGCAAATGTCCTTTTCCTCCAGCACATTGATCTGACTGCAAGGAGCTGTTAGTTTGCAGGGATTTCACTCCTGCTGAATCTCCGCAAGCAGGTATTTTTTATGGGACCCATTTTCTACTGTGCATTCCCAAAGAGGTAGCAAAGGTGTTCTTAAAAAGTACTTTATGTAGGTTTTCCAGGGGAATACTGTTGGTCTAAAGCAAATGGATTTGCTGTCTAACTGAGGCAGCTTCTGTCCCTTTTGCAGCTCACCAGGTGAGGAAGGGCTGAGCAGCATTATAGGAAAAGCTTKAGGGTCTTAAGATGCAATCCCTCATCTGCTGGGAGAAGCCAGAAGTCCAGTCCCTCATTGCAGCAGCTACTGYACCAGGTACAAGGGGATGCAGGGAACATGCAGTTAAGCCTTGCAAGCAGAGGATGAAAACTCCACCTATCAGTTCACTTGCAGGTAAGGCAAAGAATTTGCTAAAATGCCTTGGTTTCCCACTGGAATAGACTTTGAATGCAGATATGAACCACAGTTGGACTGCTGTCTGCTGGACAATACCACCTCTACAAGCTGAATCCAGAGGAACTGACTGGATTTTCCAATGTAACCATCAACAGCTACAGCTGCTCTTGCACCATGTCCCACATGGATTTCTTTATGCAGCAGGAGAAGGGGGGCAACCTCTTCCCATACCTGGCAGTAGGTCAGAAGAGCCTTGAAAGAATAACCTTCATGGGGAAAAACTATTTCTTCCATGACTGCTTCTCACTCAGCCTTTTGCCTTAATAGTGCCCATGTTCCCTTGTGTTAAATAAATACCTGTTGCCTCTGGGGCAAGGATAATAAATGAGCTCAATCTATACAGCTATTTCATGGGTCTCTSCTATGCACTGCTGTAAATTTAAAGCCAATTATGCCCTCTTTCAATATTTAGCAGTGTAGAGCTGGCTGATTTTACATCTTGTCAAGGGTAATCAAGTGCCACCAGGATTTCACTGGCCATGACTGGCCATTAGAAACACCCGTATTCCTCAGGATTGAGGAGGGGAGGGTTTTGAGACCAGAAGTGTGAATCTAGGCACGGGCTGAGACCAAAAGCCACCAGCAGCAACATCAGCACCGACAGCCAAAGCTCTGCCCCAGCACTGAGCTGTACCTGCAAGCTTGGCTTTGAGGAGCTGCAGCACTGGAAGAGCCCTGTATACACACAAGGCACATATGTGACTGAAGGTATAGCAGTATTGAAGTGGAATTGTGAGGCTCTGCAGGRAAGCAGCCCTTTGGGGACTTTGGCTGTTCATGGACAACCCTGTGACGTGCTGAAATCCAGTGGCTGTGACCCAGCTTGTAAACACTGCTCACTCAAAGTCACCACCAAGCTCTGGGGGAGCACTGCCCAGCCTAGCACTGTTGTGGGAGACAGGCCAGAGCTGATGGCACCAATAAAGAAACTTCAAATGGTGAATCCCCAAAATAACAGGGTATGAGCTGACACAAGAGGTAAAATGTAAAGGTCTCCAGCTTCCCCTAGAGCAGCCAAGTGGCTATTGGAGCAAGAACATGAGGAGAGCTGGACTGCTGCTCCAACACAGCAGGAAAGRCAAGCAGGTTCTCGTCCTGACAGTGAGGAGAGGACTTGGTGATGAGCCTCATAGTCATGCAGTCCTTATAGGAGTAAAACATCACCCTTGGACTGCTGTGCTGTCCAACAGAGGTGACAGGGAGCACAGGTTCAAACATCAGTTGTGTAAATAGGTTTCCTTGGCTGTGCCTGCATTCCTGAGTCTGCACCATCTTTCTGTGGAGCTATTGCACAAGGCACCATGTGATAAATAAGACTTTTTAGAAAGAGCAACATCCTCATAAAACATCTGCTAGAAACTATGACAAGCAGCTCAACAATAAAGCATTTACCATCTCCCCCCCCAAGTCCTTACTTAGATGCTTCGGGCAATCCAGCAGAAAACAGGAGAAAGYTGGACCATAATTATAATAAAAGATGACTCTGAAGCATGAAATTAGGCAGACTGCTGGTTTTCCAGTCCYCTGGCTTGAGCAAGACGTGAGCCGGTGTCACTCTACTGCGCTGCAGCAGGGACATTACTCAAGGATCTCCTAAGAGCAGTAGTTGTGCTGAGCYTGGACCCGTCTTTTCCAGCAACATCTAAAGGGGAAGATCATGGGAGAAAGAAGGTTAGAGCCCTGGGACCCCAAAATAAGAAGTTTCCCGCTTTAGTGCAAGGTTTCCAAGAGCAGATTATCCCCTAGCTCAGGCTATCAGGGGAACAGCTACGGTGAAACTTTCCCATCTGCGGAGTCCACACGCTCATCCCTGCTCTCCCCACGCTCAGCCCTGCTCTCCCCCAACACCCAGTTGTTGCTGCTACAGAAGAGCACCCTTCCTCCTCCCGGCAGGAACGCGCTGCGGTTTAGGTCCCAGCACCGCGCGCCGCCGCCTCCCGCTGACCGCGGCATCCGCTTCTCCCGTCGCATCTGCCTCTGCCGCCGGGTACCGGGAGGAAAAGGCATCCCCACGCTGTGCAAACGGAAAGGAAGGAGCAGGCGCCCACACGGGCTGCGGTTTGGGGGTGCTCGAGGCGAGCGCGTCCTCCGCGGATGTCGGCGCAGCGGCAGGAAGCGATACGGGCGCTGGGGCCCGGTGTCGAGCACCTGAGGTTTAAGGCACTGGCGTTTTGTCACGGGGCATTTCCAGGGACTTTCTAAGAAAGCAGAGCTGCCYGGGGCCCGTTGGCCGGCTCCGCATGACGTCCCTGCCGCGGGGGCAACATCTGCCTCTCCCAGCGTGCCGGCCCCCACGTGCGCAAGGGAGAACATTCAGTGAGCAGCGTCCCACAAAGCTCACTGAGGGTAGGACAGGCCCGTAGGCAAGGTTTGCCTCTCAGAAGTGGCCTCACTGGTGCAGGCTGCATGGATGCTTTCCTGATGGGTCTGGGGTGGTGCCCCTTGGTTCCTCCACCAGCTCCCACCTGGCAGCTCAGATACCTCACAGCCTGTACGGAGACCTACTGGTGTCTCTGGTACCACCACCTTGTGGGACAAGCGAGGGAGGAAAGAGCAAGGCTGCCAGAGGGCTGGTGCAGAACACTACAACAACCTCTAGCACACCAAGGGGGCTGCAGTTTGTGCTTCTTTCCGAGGTGACGCTTATGATAGACACTCAGGAYGGACCATTCCCACCTTCTGCGTAACACAACCCAAAGACAACTTCACAACTTCTCAGTTCCAGTGACTTCTTTCTAAGACAGTTCTCCCTCCATCCCTCTTTCGACCCTCCGTACCCGCTGCAATAGTCAGGCCCAAGTTAGAGGGCCGGAACCCGCGGCCCCACGGACACGACGGCCTCTGCCGGGCTCCCCGGCTACGCGCCCGGATCCCGAGCAGGCCGCTTCCAGGGCCGCCCCGTGCACCACGGGGCCGGCCCGGGCTCCAACCTGGTGCGGCGACGCTCGAGCCCGCGCTCCCCGCAGGGCTGCCCTCCCGACGCGCTCGCTCTCGGACGGCCGGGGGAGGCTGTGGAGAGAAACAGCAGAAAAGACCCCAGTGAGGGCCAAACATGGGGTTCTGCTCGTTGTGTTTGGTCTTGCACCCCCCACGGCTCCCCTCAAGGAACTACAACAAGTGAATTGAGTTTTGAGCTGAAATGCCAGCATGTTCCATTAGCCAGAGTGAAAATACCTTGAAAAGCTTCAAAAGGAAAATATCCACACCAGAAAATTTTAGCTTTCATAAACTGACATGTAGCA